AGGCACTTCCATATCATCTAAATATGGCAGGCTTTATTGGCTTCATAAACAGCTTGTACAAACAGCTTCTTTGTACTGTATTGACTATGTAGCCAATAGAAAATTGTAAAATGACTTCCTGCACTAAGAATGAGGCCCTATCCCTATAGCTGCTGACACTTAACCTCCTACCAATGTGAGTCCAATACAATAAATAGCGCAGCGCTCAACCTTAAATCTAAAATAAATATATATAAATAAATACAAAAAATAAATATATATCATATAAAAGTGCAACCGTGCAAATACAGTATTAATTCAATAAAGTGTAACACGTGTATTCCCCCCGGGAATAATCAAAGTGACCAAGTGATCAAATATATTCAATAAAGTGCAATACGTGCATTCCCTACGGGAATGATCAAAGTGACCAAGTGATCAGAGCAAACAATATATCACAATACACTCTAATACAAATCTCCACATATTGTGAACATGTCCATATATATATAGTGTCCAATACACAATCTTCATGCAGGTGATATCAAGTGTACACTGTGTGTATCCAAAAATAGCTGCAATGGCCCCTCACCTCCTTACATAGACCCTACAGGGTCAGCCCGCTTTGGGAAAAGACACTACTCAGGTGTATCACAGAATCCTCCCCAGCGATGTATACTCTATCAACAGCTTCCTCTCCGGTTCATGTATAAACAGAAGACTCTCATAGTGCAAAACCGCAATTTATTATATACACTGTATACAGAGATATCCACTCACATGATTATTCATCTTTCATATGGCTCCTATACCCCATGCTATGCCTGCCTTGCATGGGTATTAGATATAGGGGTTTCAAATATGGCTGCCACGCCGGAAATGACATCACCGCGCTCCCAGAATCCTCCTCACGTACCGACGTGTTGCGTCACGCTAATCACGTGACCTTCTCAGGGAATAGAGCCTATCATAGTTAGATGATATGGAAGTGTCAGCATCATATTATTCCTGGTTGCTGAATGCTACATAAGTGTGGAGTCACTGAAGACAAGTCACCGTTTTCCTAGGTCCTGAATGGGCCTTTTTTGAGCAATGCTACTTTGCTAATTACGATAAAGTGCTGTGCAACCAAACCATAAGACTAAACATGTGCATGTGTAAAAATGCAAAAAAATATATATGTGTATCTGCAAAAAAATGAAATAAATATTAACAATTAAGTATCAGTGATGTATTAATTAAATACAATTGTGAACCACTCCACAGATGTGATGTGAGATTTATCGGTATGCAGTGACAAAATATGTTTGATAGCATAGCACACAATTTTATTTTAGTGCAGTTACACAATGCATTGTTTTCAAAGCTCATAAAATGTCAACACAGAGTGCACAAAATACTTCAATACCACAACCCCGCATTCCAGAGATGAGGAAGTTGTTATGAAGAAGAAATAGGAGAGACAATAGTCAGACTGGAGAACATGTAGGCAGGTTGACTGGACAGCAATTTAAGAGGGAGAGGCAAAGCAGATTTTAAAAAAGCAAAACAAAAAAATTAGTCAATTATGTCGGAGGCAAGAGGTAGAAATATTGCAGAAACACTGCACATAATATCAGACTTTTTAGTAGGCCACATCAGAAGTGTAAGAGATGAGCCACATTTTATTGAAAAATAAAGCTTGCAGTGGATTATGTCAAAGATAAGATCCAGTAATCTAGAAATCTGTTATTATTCATGCTCTGCTCCCACCAAGAGTAGTGAAGAACAGGCATGTGTCTCCTCATGCATGTGGAACCATAAATGACTGGCAGATTTACCATATTTGTCATGCTGCAGGCTTAGACTTCTGAGCCCTGCCCAGTGGCCCTGAGGATTCCAGTAACCTGAACCCGTGGAGCAGTGCCATCAGGTGGAATAGAATGAACTGAAGCACCAGCTGGTACACTTTCTGGTACAGAATGTATTACAATGTCTTTTGGTTTAGTAGTTATCCAGTGCAGTTAAAGGAAATGCGCTAGACATCAGCAACTTACTCTATTAATGCTGGAATCTTTTACTGTGAGTATATATTATTTTTATTTAACAATATTTTGTTTACATACTGTACTTCACAAGGCCAGTACACTCTATCTTCATAATTAGTACATATATCAAGATTTTCCTATCTCTACCTAAGCTGCCAGCCAAGATGTATGTTTTGGCAGAATTAGTTAAAGTGATGTTAGCTTGAAAATCTCTGATGCAATAAAGCTGAAGAACCTGAGTTTTTAAATTCTGAATATGGTGGATAGAAAAATGCTAACCCTCTCTTCTTTATATAGGAGAAAGTACTATCATTAATGCAGTATGCGATCATGTTCTGGCCCCAATAACTACCATATTCTGTGGTTGGATTACTATTGTTTTCTTGGTGCCTTTAATGATGGGAGGAAGGTGAAATAAGGTCATTTTGGGAATGTTATGCAGAAGACAGTAGTGTTGCTAGCTTTGCTCCTTTGGGGACCAAGCTTATCCCATCAAGCAGACACATCAGTGGGGTGCAGCAACAATCCAGCTGCGGAATCAGAATTAAACATTCAAGCTGAATGCTTGCTCTTTTTAGCTGAGTGACTAGTATTCCAAAGAAAATGAGAAGATGAATGATTGCTTGGCACTCCTATTGTTTTTATTCATGCTTGCTACAAATGCCAAATGAGAGCATTTTTCTAGCTATATGAAAAGAAAGTAAGCCTTGGTTCACAATGATGCAACCTCTGATGCATTCCAGAACGCATGGAATCGCAGACAAGTGAAATAACATATGTTTTTATGGAGGCAGTTCACATATGCAAAGGGTCCTGTACGAGTTTAGTGCAGCGCTGTGCGATTTGTAGCTACATAGACTTGAATTGAAGTTGCTTATCTGAACTAAGATAACAGAATACCAGCACATTTCTTCAAGACTTTGCTTTGTTCCTTATCTCCCATCCCTGGTCCATGGGAGAGGGACAGAGAGGGAGAGACTGACTGAAAAGACTGCCAAATTGCTGCTAAAACACATCAGAATTGCACCTGAATCACTGAACAACTACCCCTTGAAATCGCGCTGAAACCAACAAGAAAATCACATCTCATCTATGTGAACCTAGCCTTAAAGTGATACTAAACCCAAGACCCTGCATTCACTATATCTGCTATCCCACAGTACACAGAACATGGAAATGCAAATATTTTAGTAAATATAAACTGCTAAATACCTTTTCTCATCAGCAGTTAGAGCAGTCTTGTGGCTTCTGTCAGTGTCCAGCCCAGCACCAGCTAAAGCTTGTAGGAGGCGTTTTCTTTCTGTTCTAGGAGGATGGAAATCTCCTGACCTCCATCTGTACAGTGCTGATTGGCTCTGCGCTGATCACATGCACTCTCCCAAGGAAAAAAAAAAAACCTCTCTAGCAATACACACTAGACTGAGCATGTGCACAAGGGCACGGTTCAGTCTTTCTCATCAGCGTGGGCATTTGAACATGAGGAGGATCAGAGAAGAAAGGATCAAACAGCCTTTTTACACAATGCAGAGGATTAACTCCTTAGGTTCCACAGTGAGTATAACAAGCATGCTTTACTGCATATACAGACTGATTTTACTGTTGTGGGTTTAGTAACACGTTAAGCTGCTACATTTTCAGGCTAGGTTCTGCACCCATCTTGCAAGCTTTTAGGGCCAGTTCACACTACAAAAATGCACTTCTGATGCATTCCGGATACGTTTTTGCTTACAGTTCACACCACATGCAGTTCCGGTGCAGTTTTGGTGCAGTTTGCTATGTTCCAGTATGGTTCTGTGGAGAAAAAATGAAGAATGCGCCAAAAATGTTTCTGCACCGGAAACTAACTGGAACTGACTGCACTAGTGTGAAACCAGGGTAATTGGAATACATGGAAAACACTGTGCATGCATTAATGATGCAGAAAAAAAAGTGCAGTGAACTGCATCTAGTGTGAACTAGCCCTCAGGGCCAGTTCACATGGCATGCATTTCAGTTGCGTTATTTTCTGCACCCAAAATGCACAGAAATTAGGTTATATATGGCTGTCAATGTCATAGTTCACATCTGTACTAGCAGTTCCAGTGCGTTCCGGACTCAGAAAAAAAGTAGAACATGCTGCATTTTTTCTGCACAAAACTGTACTGGACCGTGGTAAAAGGCATCAAAAACACATCAGAATGCACCAAAATGCACCAACAACGCACATGTCCCTATTTAAATTGAAGAGAAAGAGGGGGGAAAAATGATCTGGAATGCATAAAAACACACCGGAATGCGACAAAAATGCAACACAAAAGCAACAAAACATGTCAAAAACACGTAAAAAATGTGCACGCACAAATGCATCTGGAACGCATGTGGACTGCGTCTCTATAATGTGAACCAGCCCTTAGAGTTTTTTAAATTTTTTCTTCCTCTCTGGTTTACCGACCACAGAGTTACTGTTGGTTCACACTGAATCTGACTTTGAAATCATGTGACTTCACTTGAAGTTGCACGATTTCAAAACCGCATGTCAGGCATGTCAGACACTTCAAGTCATGACAGACACTGCGACTTGGTGACATCTGTGGGACTTCATGCACAGATGCCTATACAAGTCGCAGCTGAAATTGTAAAAAAATAGTGAGGTAACCTTTTTTTTTAAATCAGTGCAGCTCCGCAAAGTCGGAGACGCACTGTTTTGAATCGTTCCATTGCGGATAATAGAGTGTGACTTGTCGTGCAATTTGAAGCTGTCAATTCGCATAAGAAGTCGCACCAATCTGAAGCAGGGCTAAAAAGTTCACACTGATGAGAATATATCTCAAATTAAACGTGACAACTGAAGTTATGCCAGACTCAGCATTTTATTTAAATGGGGCATAATATACCGTATTTTTCACTCCATAAGACGCACTTTTTTCCCCCCAAAAAAATGTCAGTGCGTCTTATGAAGTGAATATAAAGCAGCCGGTCAGGTATTTCCACATCCACCATGTCAGAATACCAGGCTGGCCGCTCAGCTGTTCTCTGATGCAGGACCTTACCTGTTCCTCGGTCCAGCGCTGCACAGTCTTCCCGCACCGGCATCTGTGATGGCCGGGTGCCCACTGCGCATGCGCGAGAAGCTCTGCTCTTTGTGAATGGTCCGGCGTTTTGTGGGACACATGACAGGTCCCAGAAGACACCGGGCCATTCACAAAGTGCAGAGCTTCTCGCGCATGCGCAGTGGGCACCCAGCTGTCACAGCCGGGTGCCCACAGTAAAGGGAGGACAACTCCACGGAAGTGGGAGCTGGTACCTGTCAAATTAAGGTACCCGCTCCCCCTCCCTCCCTAAAGGTCCGCAGTCTCTGGTCATCTCCTGTACTGTCTGCAGTCTCTGGTCATCTCCTGTACTGTCTGCAGTCTCTGGTCATCTCCTGTACTGTCTGCAGTCTCTGGTCATCTCCTGTACTGTCTGCAGTCTCTGGTCATCCCCTATACTGTCTGCAGTCTCTGGTCATCTCCTGTACTGTCTGCAGTCTCTTGGTCATCCCCTATACTGTCTGCAGTCTCTGGTCATCCCCTATACTGTCTGCAGTCTCTGGTCATCCCCTATACTATCTGCAGTCTCTGGTCATTCCCTGTACTGTCCACAGTCTCTGGTCATCTCCTGTACTATGTCCGCAGTCTCTGGTCATCATCTCCTGTACTATGTCTGCAGTCTCTGGTCATCTCCTGTACTGTGTACACAGTCTCCGGTCATCTCTTGTACTGTGTCCGCAGTCTCTGGTCATCCACTGTACTGTGTCCGCAGTCTCTGGTCATCTCCTGTACTGTGTCCGCAGTCTCTGGTCATCTCCTGTACTATGTCCGCAGTCTCTGGGCATCTCCTGTACTGTGTCTGCAGTCTCTGGTTATCCCCTGTACTGTGTCCGCAGTCTCTGGTCATCTCCTGTACTATGTCCGCAGTCTCTGGTCATCTCCTGTACTGTCTGCAGTCTCTGGTCATCCCCTATACTGTCTGCAGTCTCTGGTCATCTCCTATACTGTCTGCAGTCTCTTGGTCATCCCCTGTACTGTCTGCAGTCTCTGGTCATCCCCTATACTGTCTGCAGTCTCTGGTCATCTCCTATACTGTCTGCAGTCTCTTGGTCATCCCCTGTACTGTCTGCAGTCTCTGGTCATCTCCTGTACTGTCTGCAGTCTCTGGTCATCTCCTGTACTGTGTCCACAGTCTCTGGTCATCTCCTGTACTGTGTCCGCAGTCTCTGGTCATCTCCTGTACTATGTTCGCAGTCTCTGGTCATCCCCTGTACCGTGTCCGCAGTCTCCGGTCAGTTCCTGTACTATGTCTGCAGTCTCTGGTCATCTCCTGTACTATGTCCGCAGTCTCTGGTCATCCCCTGTACTATGTGTGCAGTCCATTGGTTCAGAATATTTTTTTTCTTGTTTTTCTCCTCTAAAACCTAGGTGCGTCTTATGGTCAGGTGCGTCTTATGGAGTGAAAAATATGGTAATTCATTTTGAAGAGGACTAGTCCCATTTGGGCTTTTTCGAGAATCTGAACATCAGCTTTAAATGATCATAATTCGCAGGCTTACCAATGAGACATTTGCTGGATATTATGCTGTTCCTAAGCTTTACCTAGATTATCTGAGGATTGCTCACGGAGCTAAGAGTCAGAGTTGAGTGGTAAACACATGGTGTCTTTAGTGCCGAAGTAACCATAACAGTATGGAGCACAGAGCCCTGCACTTGTTTACATTTCCCTTAACTCTGCTATGTGATGCTGTTATCACACTCAGGAGACAGCATGTGTTATCAGCATTTGGTCAGGCATTTGGCAGAGCAGCAACTGTCAGAATACAGGTGACCTCTCATCTCAAACTCCCAGGGCCTAGAGACATCCTCAGACAGAGTAAGTTGGTAAATAACGTAGAAATAAATCTTTAGCAATCCTGAACGCTTACAATACTTTAAGATTTAATGTTCACATTTTCTAACTATTTTTAGTTTTTTAAATGGTTTTAGAAACTGTTCATTCAAATGCAAATGGTTTTGTGACAAAAGTTTAATAGATAAGTTTTTTAATTGTTTTTTAACCAATGGGCTTGGTGAAGAATAAACTTGAATTCACCATTCATTTTTTAAATATGTATATAATTAAAGTGTTACTAAACCCATAACAGTAAAATCAGTCTGTATATGCAGTAAAGCATGCTTGTTATACTCACTATGGAACCTAAAGACTTAATCCTCTGCATTGTGTAAAAAGGCTGTTTGATCCTTTCTTCTTTGATCCTCCTCTTGTTCAAATGCCCACATTGATATGACAGACTGAACTGTGCCCTTGTGCACATGATCAGTTTAGTGTTTTTTTTCTTGGGAAAGTGCATGCGATCAGCACAGGGCCAATCAGCACTCTCCAGACAGAGATCAGGGGATTTCCATCCTCCTAGATCAGAATGAAAACTCCTCCTACAAGCTGTAACCAGTGCTCTGCTGAACACTGATAGAAGTCACAAGACGGCTCTAACTGCTAAAGAGAAAAAGAAATTTAGCAGTCTATATTTACTAACATAATTGCATTTCCATGTTCTGTGCACTGTGGGAGACCAGATATAGTGAACCCAGGCTCCTGGGTTTATTAACACTTTAAGTATCACATATTTATTATTAATAGGGTTTCTTTCTATCTACAATTTTGATTGTTGTTTTACAACATTTCCTAAATTACAGTAGGTATGGGTGAAATTGACTGATTTTGGTTCACTATGATTTTGCTAATTGCATTGTAGTCCATGGGCAGTGGCTAAATTTAGTGATTTAACCAGTTCCCAAGTGGACATCATATGACATTCTGGGAGGAAAGTGGATTATTATTATTATAGATGATTTATATAGCGCCAACAGTTTGCTCAGCACTTACAATATAAAGGGAGACAATACAGCAATGATACAGTTCAATACAAGAGGGTTAGGAGGGCCCTGCTCCTTGGAGCTTACAATCTAAGAGAGAGGGGCTGGTGGTACAATAGGTAATAACTGTGGTGGATGAACTGATAGGAGGAATAGAAGATTCCATTATTAGCTGAAGGCAGGATAGGCTTCCCTGAAGAGATAGATTTTCAGAGATTGCCTAAAAGTGGGTAGAGTAGGTGATAGTTGGATAGATTGGGGTATAGAGTTCCAGAGGATGGGGGAGGCTCTGGAAAAGTCCTGGAGACAAGCAAGGGAGCTAGAGAGATGCCTGGACCAGCAGACACCATCCTCCTGGTATCAAAATATACAACTGACAATTGGATTTTTACCAGAAGTGATTAGAGTGGCTGAACAGCCACTCAATCACTTCTGTGGGTAGTGGAAGGGGGTTCCCTCATCCACCACCTTTCCTGGGCTACCCCATCCGATCAAGAGGCCAGGGACTGCAGCGACTGGGGGCAATGGCTGCTCTACACAGAAAGAGAGAAACTCACATTGTTCCTCCCTCTCTGTGAACCCAGAAACCGGAACCAGAAAATTAAAAAGACAGTGTAAAAAAAAAAGTTTTAAATAAAATAAATAATAATAATTAAATATAAAGCGCCCCATCCCCCCGTGCTTATGTGCAAATGCAAACTCATACATAAGTCCTGCATGCATATGTAAATGGTGATTGCACCACATGTATGAAGTATTGTTGCAAATGACAGAGCAAGAGCAATCATTCTAGCACTAGACCTTCTGTGTAACTCTAAACTGATAATCTGTAAAGGTGTTTAACATATAATAGTAAAATACACCAACAATTGGAAAAGAAAGTTTAACCAATTGTGATTCATCTTCATAACACTCCTTTAATAAATTAACTCCAGGGACTCAGAGTAAGTAGATCATGGGGTTTTCACTCATGTTCTGATTTCACCTGCTGAATAATTGTTTCAGGTCAGTGAATTAGAAAGCAATAAGGTCAGAAAGTCAGTATGATGGCCAGGTAACTAGAATTCTGAATGGCTGCCCACTTGATTCTTTTAAGCAAAAAAAAAAACCAAAGAATGAAAATGGCATTGTTCTTGTATCCCATATGAACCACTATGTGTGAATTTGCAGGTCAAAGTTTTTTCTGGGGGTATTAGTTTTCTAACTTCTAACTACTGTTTTACTTCATGTAGCAAAGACTTCAAGATTTAGACACATCTTAATTAGCTCTTCTGCACTAAAAATGTTCATGGATTCAATCCCTATTAGAGCTGTACTAGGAAATACATAAATGAATCTATGCTTTTTGAAAGAGGGTTATATTAGCAAGCAAATCCTTTGATCATCAAATACAAATTGTTGCAAAACCACAGTTTAACTTTAAGGATTTCAGAACCATATGATGTTCATTAGACTATGATATTGCAGTTATTTTTGTCACTCATAATTATGTGTAAATCTAATTAACATCTGTTTCATAATGATGCCATGAAATTTAAATGTAAAAAAAAAAACAGCAAAGAGATTTATTATGTATTTTCCTTTTTTTTTTTATATTTGTAGCATAAAAATCAAATATTGTTTAAAAGTGTTCCCACACATTGGAAAGACCTGAGCTATCCACTACAATAACCAGGTAAATGTGAATCACTCCTGGCATTATAAGCAATTAATCCACAAACTGTACAACACTGCTGGCTCTCCATCTGTCCTGGTATATAAAGGATGCACAGAATTGACTAATAATGCATCAATGCATAATGAGGTGAACTACATAATGAGGTGAGCAGGGAGAAACAGCATAGCATTTCATTCCCTCTGTATGTAGGTTACACAGGGTGCCAGGTGCAAACCCAGTGATGCAATGCAGTCTCCTGATGGCTTCCATTTGTTATTAATGCATCAACCTATTTATGAATTGGTAGTAACATTTCACAAAATGCTTTAAATGTCTAGGTCATTTTACTACAACAAAGAGGCTACAACTAGGGGTCCTGATCATTAGGCTTTGTATGCTATTCCCTACCTCCTTGCTAGGGAACTGAACCCCATTACAAATTAATTCCCTGACATTTACTCTGAATACAGCTCATACTTCTCTTCACACATTATTACTTTATGATTTTTTTTACCTTATCTAAACCTTAAATCCTATTGGAAAACCTTAAAGGGACATTTTGTTTGACGAATACAAAAATAAAATGTGCAAAATGTGTATATTCATGTGACTTATAATGTTAGATTATGTGAAAAAATTCAGAAAACAGTCATAAAAAGATACACAACCTGTAAGACAATATTGTTCACAAATCCAAATTGAAGGCTCACCTAAGATTGAATGTATTCATACATTTCGTATTAGCTTGTATGAAACAGTGTTTGGATACATTACAATATTTTTAATTAGCTTCAATTCTGACCTTTGGGAATATGCTTCAGGTTTTTGTGAACCAAGTCACTTGTGGTTTGAGAAAATAGTGCAGTAATGCGGCCATTCGCGTTTATAGCAACCAATTACCAATAATGAACTTTCTCACCTCTGAATTGTGGTCAGGTGGCTTAAAAGGGCCAATCATTGGTGGTTACTTATGTTCCAGCCCCCAGGTCCACTACTAGAATATCACTGTTACATGCCTGTGTCCGGTTTTAGTTCATCCTAATGAAATTTCCTTCTGTTGCCTGTATGTGGTTTATCTGTTCGAAACTATCTCTCACTTATTGCTTCTTTCGTAGACTGATTTTCTTTATGTCATTCCAGCAAATGGGTGCTGCATGCCTCTCATTCCACCATATCTCGGTGGTTCAGGTAGACCATTATTCAAGCTTATGGTTATACCCAGGGTGGACTGACCATTCCAGCACTCGGGCACTGCCCGTGGGCCCGGGGTCAGTAGGGGGCCCCAT